TCTAAGCCCTAAATGTGCCAACTTTATGAATCTATGACCATAGAAACACCACGAGTGGCAACTCTAAGCTCCAGGAATGGTATCAACCACTAAATCTCATCCATGGGACCAAAAAGGGTCCAAAACTCATACAACATAGATCTAAGCTAACAATGAACAAGGTCAAAGCTTTTTACCTCACACAAGTTGGAAATGAAGCACATACTCAAGATCCACAAGCTCCTCCTTGATCCACAACCTTGCACCAAGCTTCATCTTCTTGGAAATGGCCCAAAAACACCAAAATGTACACCATGAGCTCAAAATCACAACCATGGAGGCTTAGAGACGATTTATAGGGTTTGAGGGACTTGGAGGCTGGTAAAGAGGCCAACCCTAAGGACTAAATGTGTTTCTATAAGGTCTAATACCAAAAATTAGGGTTTCTTAACTCCCGTCGTACGCCCCGCGTACTTCCTCGTACACCCAACGTACGAGGCTTCGCATTCCCGATCATCCCTCGCACTACGCTCAGTGTAATCCATACTACGCCTCGCGTACCCTCCGCAGCAGCAGTACGCCCCGCGTACTCCCTAGGTACGCCCCGCGTACTAGGGTTTCCCCTCAAACCCTACACATTCCAAAGGCCATACCTTCTTCGATATACATCTGATTCCGACGATCCATATATCCATGAAAAGGTAATGAGAAGCTCTATGCTTAAATCAACTCGTACCCGCCTTACCATATCCTGAACGAACATCCATTTTCCATAGAAGTCCGAGCTGACAAATTATCGAAATACCTTTTAACTCCAAAACACAAACCGAATACCCAGATCATCCAATATACATCATCCACCTCCAAATGAGCCCAAAACTAAATTTTTCAAGGATCCTAAGCCTGCTAATACCTAATCCTTGATCACCACCCCGAAATGGAAACGATCTGAAACAGGGTGTTACAAACATTTTCCATCATTCTTCTATTATTGTTATAAGACTAAATGACTAATGATGTATACTTGCAAGCCTTTAAATTTTGATAAAAGATGAAAGACCTAAGACTTCATGTGATTTTACTATTGCTAAAGACTAAAGACTTTTGATTTAATACATAAATGTCATACATATTAAGAGAAAAGACTAACAACTAAAGACTTGCGATTTGGAAAAATATACAATGGGGATGTTGTAAGACTAAAGACTCAAGAATTTTGAATGAAAGTGATTATTCTATAATACTTAACTTAAAAATGATTTTAGGGATTCTTACTAGTTTAAGGAATGTGCTAATTCCTTTGACCATAAAGATGTTGAATCCCAGTATTCCTCAATAGAAATTCCCAATACATAATCTATTTACTTTGACTATATTCAAATTAGAAGAGAATGAGGAAGGAATTAGAGGATAATCTTTTGAGATGTGACTTTTTTACAATTTAAGACTATGAGACTGTATTTTCCACGAATATGATTTTAAAGAATCTTAAATGATTTTTCAAAACAAGTTAATCATTTAAAATAAAATAGAGGTTTTCAGAAGTTAACAAACCCAAATGAGCAATCTCCATAAAGAAAGCAAGCATGATTTTTTTTTGAAAATGGGGTTTTCACAAATAAATAAAAGGGGAAATAAAAAGGTAAAGAGAACTGTAATGGTTCCCTGAAAGACGGACAATAAATTAAGGCAAGAGAATGAGGTCACGTCCCTCGCCATTAATGTGTTATGACGACAATTACAAATAAAGTGATGGTTTGCCAAAACTCAAGTGTATGTGTGTCTTGGCAACGTTAAAAAGCATGTAGAGATGTCACTCGGTTGAATAAGAGACCAAAATACGTGTTTAAATCTAGATAACAAAGCATGTTGGCTCTACTTCATCATCCAGAATTAAGGGGCTTATAGGGGATCCACCTTCTGTAGAGGTGTTCGTTTGGGTGGATCGATCCGATCCAATTAAGTAAATCCAAATTGATTTCGGTTTTGAAAATATGGATCCGAATTGTCCAAACTAAATTCAAATCCGATCCGATCCAATCCAATCCAATTACAATTCGGTTGGTTCGGTTTTTATAATTTAGTTTTCAAAAGGCATAACATTTAAAAATGATATATAATTATAATATTATCCAATTTTTATAAAAGAAGCAAAAACAAATTATTTAGTTGTAATTTATAATTTATAAACAACTATTAAGATGGTATATTATAATTTAATATTTAATAGATAAAACACTTTTGAGAGAAAATGCATATTAATTTTTTTTATTAGGTGAAACCTTTTGAAGTTTTTTGAAAAAAATAATTTGTAAAATTAATAAATAATTATAGATATATTAAAATAAATATATAATAAATTGTTATTCGGTTTTTTTGACTATCCGGTTCTTATTTTATAAACCAAAACCAATCCGAAATCCAAAATAATAATTCGGTTTTGGTGAAATCCAATCCAAAAATCCAAATATCCGAACCAAATAGTTCAATCCAAATTGTCCAATTGGATAATTCGGTTTTATCCAAATAGTGAAGAGTCCTAACCTTCTGGGCTTATAGGGGATCCACCTTCTGACGGTTGAATCTAGATGGTCGAATCCAAACAAAATGTCTAATCAATATCTCTCCTTATTATAATAAACACTCATGATAATACAAGAAGTACGAAGACAATCCCTTAAAATCAGGAGCAAGGATAAATGCCACACTTACTAAATACTAAACCCATAACATACCTAATACCTTGGATATAAACAATATTATCCAAGGCACTGTCACCATTATTTACATCTCCCATGCACTTCCTATATAAACTAAGCAACATAGATGACTCAAAGCAAGACAAAGAGAGTCCAACAACAATACTGATACACACTCCTACAGTCTTCACTCCTTCCTATGATATACAACCCTTTTGCTCTAGCTTAGGCATCATAGAGTATTACCGGGAACATCCCAGTAATACTCATGACCCTCTTTGTTCACCTATCTAAGGTTCTACGGTCATTCCTAACAAGGAAGTCTCAGCCCTAGAAACTAGAAACTAGAAACTGTGCACTTAATCATGTCCATCACACCTAATTTTGCTTACATTATTAAGATATATTTATCTTGGCCCCTTTAGTTCGGGAAAAAATCAACTATCCGTATGTTTTGAGTATTTTAGTGAATACACGACCTTTGTAACAAAAAAGTTTTTCTTGTTTCAGAAAAAATAATCTCACAATTTCGTCAACTTTTTTTTCACAAAGTAAGAGCATCCACAATCGGAGCTTTTTTAAACCAGTAAGCTCTTGAAAATTAAAAAAAAAAAAAACTATTGTAGGTGATTTTTCGAATCAAAAGCTTTTCAAAGAGTTTGTAAATTTACAAGATCTTATTACAAGTTTTTTTATGATTGCATATGTCCCATATGTTTTAAATAAAATGTAAATAGACAACTTATGTAAACGATGCAAAAATAAGCAATTTGAAAAAGTTATACTATTGTGGAGATATAAAAAGTTTTTTCATTTTAAGTTTTTTTCTTGAAAAAAACTCACCGAGAAGCTTTTCAATTGTAGGTGTTCTAAAAAGGTAAAAAGTTTTTCAAATGAGTAAAAAATATTATGATTTTATATAATATCACACATTTTTCTGTAAACTACAATAAGCGTGTAAACTACAATATATCATTCACATTTTTTTTTCATTTCTTAAAACTCGAAATAACATTTACATGGAGATGGAAAGCAAACGGACAACAAATTGTGTTGTTAAACCTTTCTAGATTGCAAAACTAATTATTTTAAAAATTATGTTCATGGATCTTGATGTTATAACATTAATATACATGATTTGTTGGATTGCAAAACATATGTTAATTATCCATGCACGTTTTTCACGTATTTTGCCATTTTACATGAGACATCTTTCAAACCAGTTTGCCCTACTATGAAACACCACTCCTTAAGCCCACGAGACGGTAAACCCCTATTAGATCCCCACATTTGGTGGGACTCCCACATTCATTTTGAATGCTGATATTCCTATTCCTTCCGGTGTGTGTGTGTGTGTATATATATATATATATATATATATATATATATATATATATATATATATATATATATATATTGAGTTGTAGTTTTAAAATGTAAATCACAAATCAGTGACAAAAATATCTTTAAATGATAGTTTATTATATAATTATTGTGGCTGTTTCATGAAAATGATTAATCTAACAAGCCATGTTATAAATAACCAAGTGATCATATGGCTTTGGTTTAGACGTTCATTCATGAATTAGTACTTCTCACTAAAGTTCCTTAACACATATCATTGAAAACTCAATAAACATCGCATAACATTTCGTCTAATGAGTTCATGGTTCTGAGACAGAAATATAACTACAAAAGATGTTAAAACATTTGTGTTCCATCAAAAGCTCTCGATCATAATTCTTTCAAAGGATATCATCTAACCAGTGTAAAGAAATGGCATCACTTGAGTGGTACCTCTATCTATGATATCAAGTCATAAATCCAGAACCTTAAGAGACCTTAAAAGACCTATGTAAGTTGTAAGAATGACTTGTTGCATCATAATCCATAACATTTTTTTTTGTTTTGTTTTTTAATGACTTATCAACTCTATTTTAAAGTGTTTGATACTAAGTGATCACCACTAGGGGCACTGTTTTTGTGATTGATTAAACATGTATGCAACTTGACCAATCTGCCCCCTATCATTAGCGAAAGACTATTCTACTTTCAGCCTTCACATTAAACACATAGATATGTAATTCAAATGGGAAGTGATTTGTACACAACAGTTTATGCTTTAGAAGGGTTGTACAATATACATAAGAAGCATATCATTGTTGTGTATGAATAAAAAAAGTTGTGTATAGATCAGTTCCCAATTCAAATACTTTTGAACTTTTCCATGGTTGAGTTGTACAAAAAAATTCTAAATTTTGAAATCGAGTACAACATAAAATTTAATCAAGAAAATTCACAATTGAAGAAATATGATTCAGTCCTTGAAAAAAAAAAAAAAACTCTTGTTGCCATCTAGTCACAAACTCAAAGAATGAGGTGCTGCTCAGAAAGGATGAAGGCATGAAGCAGACACTGTGCAGTATGAGTTTCATCTGATGTTCCAGACAATACTACTCGCCCTCCATCTACCGAATCATGTATCGCCACCTGTGCACCTGATATCTGCACTCAAAACCCTTTTCCCAATTAAAAACAATACATAGCTTTCATTTAAAAGAAAAAAAAAAGCAAGTGGACTCACTCACCTGCTTTATATGAGCTAAGTTGGTCTTGTTCTCTCCATATATGGAGCCTAACAAGCTTTGAGGAACCATAATCTCAACATTTACAGTTACACTTCCTCCTTCAGATTCACCTACTTCACCTGTATACCTGTTGCTGCTACCTGACTGGACAACAAATACAAAGACAACGACTTACTGGTGCTAACATACAAATATTTCCTAAAGAACAACTTACAAAGTATGGTAACCCAAATGATGAAGTTGTACAGATAAGGTAGGTTTTTTATAATTTTTTATTAACTTTGCTACTTTTGCATTTATCATTTTCTAAAATACACCGTGTTAATAAGAAAAAAGACTGAAAGTAAAAGAAATAAAAGTAGGATGCTATAATACACAAATAGATAAGATGAAAGTAGGTTGGCATTTGTAGCACATATTCCTTAATAAAATCACCAACCTGAGAATTCCATCTCCCTGGAGGTGGAGGAGACTGCCTATGAGCATATCCAGGTCGTTCATTGGCATAAGGATAAGGATATGGCCCACGATCAAAATAAGGCCCAGGCCCAGGTCCATATCCATATCCTTCATTGGCATAAGGAGGTGGAGGTGGAGGTTCAAAAGGATGATCATGTCTTGGCCTGAATGGAGGAGGAGGCCTCATTTCTTGAACATGATTTGGATAATATGATTTCACAGGAGGAAATACAAATACAGTTTCACGAAGTCTCCCAGTGATTTGAAACAAACCATCTTGAACAGATTGTAAGCTGCCACTTACCTAAATCACCCCAAAATTAACATTATATAAAGATAAAGATACAACAATCATATTTGCTGTAAAAAATAATTTAATTAATAAAAAAACCTACCTTACCTGTACAACTTCATCATTTGGCATACCATACTTTGTAAGTTGTTCTTTAGGAAATATTTGTATGTTAGCACCAGTAAGTCTTCTCATTTCTGAAATAATAACGCCACCTTTACCCCATAGACACCCAATCTGGCGTGAGTGTACCAGAAGCCTAGCAACGATGGCAGCACCTGATTCAAACCCAATCTCTGCAATTCTACCATGGACACGAAGAACAGCATCTTGTGCAGGAGAATGCCTTTGATCCAAACTCTGTGTCAATTATCCCAATCCCAATCAATTAATAATTAGAAAAAACAAAATATGTAGCTTTTAATAATTAATTAATTCTCACATGCCTCTCGTGCAGATATTACAACCACCCTCTCATCTGACTCGGGTGCTGAGTCAGCGATTTTTATAGATGCACCGGTTTCTGATTGTATTGCTCTTCTGATGGAGCCACCTTTGCCTATCAAGCTGCCAACTTTGTCAAACTGACACAATAATCTGAATACAACTTCCTCTTCCATGGGTATTCTGTGGTGGTTTGGGTTCCCGATGCCTTCAGGACCTGAAACAGATAAATAATAATGATTGTTATGTTATGGGTTTTTGAAAGGCAGTTGTTTAGGAAAGAAAGGAAAAAGTATCATTAATACCATATCCATGAGCCTGAGGGATCATCCCTATGGGCCTGTTACTGTTACTGCCACTGGTGGTTGCATCTGCCCTTGGATTTTCTTGAAGACAACTTGATACAGATAATAGAGCCTTCTTTACAGCTGAAAACTTTCCAGCCATCTGCATATCACCAAACATACAAAAATCTATAATTAACAAAAATGGGGTATTGGGGTGCAAATAAGTAAACCTCGTTCGATGGGGTAGATGAGTTAGGCCTAAACAATTAACATTATTGGGCCTAAGGGAGTAAAAGATGACAAAAGGGATTGACCAAGAGTTGACTTTCTTCAGGTCAAAGTCAGGATTTAAAGCATTAATTAAATACTGACGGAATCATTATATTAAATTAATAAAAAAAAATACGGTGCATTTCCATTTGTTAAAGATAATTAATTTAACATTTGAGGTCAGAATGTCACATTGTACGGTTATATATTGCATGATGTCTTACATGCAATATATTCCTTGTACTTACAAGTTATATACACACACACACACACACATATATATATATATATATATATATATATATATATATATATATGATGCATGGACTATATGTATGTATATCACATGCAATGGTGGAGCTAAAAAATGGATATAAGGGTACAAACATAGTAGAAATTCAAAATAGTACTCAAAGTTGCTTAATATTTAAAGTCGTATATCCCAAAAATATATAAATAAAAAATTACAATTGAATCCGCCGAGTTTAAATCGATCAATGATATTATAGTAACTTGTAGAGACACATCATTCTGAATGAAATGAGACAAAACAATCGTTTAAAACATGATCACCCATGCTATTATGCAACTTATTTTTTTTGACACAAGGCATTAACACTCCCTCTACACTTGTCAACTGGAAGAATCAATATTAACTTGATAAGCAAATGCACTAGTGGATAAGTCATATGCTTATTTGTTTCAACAAGTTTCATTGAAAGGGAACTAACGTCATGCATAGTTTGGAACTCAACATCGCTTATGAATGTATCAAGTTGACAATCAAGATTCATCAAATCAGAGCTTGAAAATTTGATCGGATAGAAAGTAGTAAGTTTAAGCACTTTTTCATTGTCAAAAGAAAAGGTCATCTTTAGCAACTCCAAATTCACTTTATCAAACAGATATTAAGTTGTAAGTCGATTACTCCTATAAACACCCCCACACGAAAATGATGAAGATTTGTGTTTTGTTGAATAAAACGTTTTAACTTCCTTTAGTAATATATTGGGATTTTATATTCGGCACAGCAATGTCATATTAATTGCACAATGATGTGACTTTATTCATGTTGGTATCCCATCCAAGGTCTCCCGTTGGAATCATTTGATTTGATCTTTTATGGATCAACTAATGTCTACTATATTTTGATATACCAATGATTTATGATTTGTGTGTTGTTTAATAAAGAGAAGATTAAGACATTGTTAGTGTAATAAATATGCATTGTTGTTCCGAATATGAAAGCTCATTATATTCCTCAAGGAAGGTAAAAGAGTTTTGTTCAACAAGCGACAAATCTTCATTATTTTCGAATTGAAGTGTTTATAGAAGTAATTGACTTACTATCTCAAGAGCTTACATGCATGGCTTGCTTAAGTCCTAATGATAGCTTCTCTTCCTTTGACAAAGAAAAAGTATTTAAACTTGCTACTCATTATCCTTTCAAGCACAAATTTGATGACTTTTATGATTATATTCATAAGCGGTGCGCAAAAAGATGGCAGACTTTAAAATATGCTATGGTGTTGGTTCCAATGATGTTTGTTGAAACAAATAGGCATGTGACTTATCAACTTGAGTTTTTGCTTATCAAATTAATGTTGATTCTTCTAGTTGCTATGGCAACTGTAAAGAGAGTTTTTCGGAATGACATGTCAAAAATAAGTTGCAGAATAGCTAGGGTGATCAAATTTTAAACGATTGTTTGGTCACTTTCATTGAGATGGACGTGTTTCTACAAGTTTGTGATGACGATTTTATCGATCAGTTTCAACAAATGATGACTTGGCGGATTCAACTGTAACATTTATTTATATAATGTTTTTAGGATGTATAACTTTAAATATTAAGCAACTTTAAACACTAATTTGAATTTCAACTATGTTCATACCTCGATATCCGCAACCACTACTCGTGAGTTTCAGGTTACTCATTCCAGATATAGTGACATGCAACAACGATGATGGCAACATGATTTGTTCATTCCCTGCTTAGATGAAATGTCATAAGTATCCCCCTCATGCGGATTATCAATGCAAGAGATAGAGGGGATCATACTTGAGTTGCTCATGCATGGCATCCACATTAATTTAGATATTATACTAGTGTATGCCATACTCTAGGTATTTTGTCATGCACCGATTTAGGCATGATTTTCGTAGATTTACCAACATGTTTCTCACCGGGCTTTCAAGTTTGATAATTCGTTTCAATCACTATGTTAGGGTAAGAGGCAAAACGCGATAATGAATCGGACGTGATGATGGTGAGTTGAGGACTAGAGTACTATTTGATGATAGTAATGCAAGTCTGGAGAGTTTATCTAGTTCAATACTTAGTGTAGTTGTTTTGATACGGGGTAGTAACACCCGTTAGGAGTGAAATGTTGTAGAAAATTTAGGACCTACACATTTCAATTAAGTTTAGTTCTTATTATCGTAAGAACTATTTGAGGTTATTTCCTCACATTTGAGAGGTGAACACTATGAAGGTGCTTATAGATTAATCATACATGGAAGAAAAAAACGACAATACTTGTGTAAGAGTACAATAAACATGATTCCTGAAGGCAAATGGAACTCCCAAAGAAAAGGTGCCATGTTAGGCATTGAAGCAAAGCAAGTGAACGCCCATACCACAAGCAAGCAACATATGCAAAAGCATGTGAGTGCTTAGGCATGCATAATCACACATATACTAGGAGACAAAAGATCATGCCAATTATGCCAAAAGCAACACCAAATCCAATCACATTAACTAACCATGATGTTGAAGGAGTACCAATAGTCATGTAGGAAGGGGGTTGATGGTCCATAGGGATAAGAAAGTGCATGGAGGTTACAAATTTTGTACTAGGTACTGAGAGAGATGTACAATGTTCGAGTTTACAACTTCCTAACGAGATTTTATTGTGTAATGAGGATGTAGAAAGAGGAACAAAGAAGGAAAGATGCGAGGAGACCTAACGAGAGGCAAAGAAAGTCATGGCTAAAGCAAAGTACATGGCATATGATGAAAGGTACAAGTAATCTGATATAAAAGAAGGGGAGAATGGAACATATTGATGACGAGGGAGTACAAGTATGCATCAGAGTACAAGCACGCACTACACCCAAATAAGAGTTTCAAGTAATTATGTAATCCACAAGAACGGGAATGTAAAGAAGACGTTGGCCACCACATAAAGGCAAGATAATTAAAGTGGAAAGGTCGCATACAAGAAAATCATATTGAAACTAAAAGGTAAATTCTACATGGTTGCAGTTAAGCCAACTATGTTGTGCTGTGCGGATCCGAAGTTGGCCATTAGAGGCTATCTATTCTGTATTTTTATGTGCAGCGGTGCAGTTATGTTCTTATTTATTCCTTTACATGTTCTATTTCCTAGTCTCCTTTTTCTTTTATTAGTTTCATGTGTATGGCAAGGCTGTCTACATCTCTATTGAAGGAGTATCATTCATCCAACACAAACTAAGTGCATATGGAACAATTTATGCACATCAAAGATGCCAAATATGTATACCACTTGTAAATTGAAGAAAGATGGTACATGGGATTACCTGAATCAACTCATCCCCAGGGGATGCACACTCTGGAAGTTGATCTTTGGGCAAAACCCTCACTTGAGCTCCACTCTCCTGCCGGATCTTTTCAATGATCTTTCCTCCTCTACCAAGCACACATCCAATCTGATTACTGGCAGCCAACATCCTGCATACCACCGGTCCTTGTTGTATCCCACCACTGCCTTCTGTGGAGTTGTCTTCACCATTCTCACTCTCCTCCTTGAACATTTTACTTCGTTCTTCATCGACCTTCAGTATCCTCTCAAAGATCCTAATCAGTGCCTTCTGAGCAGGCGATTCCTCACAGTTAGAATTCCCTGATTCTTCGCTATTAGAATCGTCATTATTGTTATTAGCAATATCCTTGTTCTTATGAGTAGAGTCAGCAGCCACTATGACGATGACCCGCTCTTCGGTACCATGGGTATAGTCGTCAATTCTAATTTTAGCACCGGTCTCTTCACGAAACTGGCGGATGATGGCACCGCCCTTGCCGATGACACCTCCGGTCTTTGCAGCAGGGCATAGAATACGGAATAGGGTTTCTCCGGAGGAGAGTTTGAGAGAGCGAAAAGGGTTATTGTTGTTAGATTGAGGAGTGGCGGGGGAGGATGGAAGAGGATGGTGGTGTTGATGGCGCCGCTTGGTAGAAGAGGTCGGTGTAAGGTGAGGATGGTCAGACCTATCAGCGGTGGAATGGTCGAAGGGACGCTTATTTGGAAAGGAACCATCCATTTGAAATACACACAAGTAATCTAATTATCAGAACAATCGACAAATAATTTCATAGCCGATAGAACACAGACGAAGAAACCGCCGCCACCGTCGTCGTCTGGTAGCTCTCAACTGTCAGCTCTGCAGGTTAAAATTCATTTTCCGTTCCGGCGCTTCCAATTTTTTTTTATCCAAGTGTAAATTAATTATTTTCACAGATTTTAGTTGATATTGTCAAAATTAGTCCCTTAACATGTAGTTTTGTTATTTTTGGTCAATTTTATAGCAGCTTTTATCTTATAGGTTTTTAACAGCATTTGAATGATTGATATCTCAATAACTCCGAGGATCCGAATAAATCTATCTGTAAATGAAAACATGTTTGGTTAGGCCTCTAAATGATTGTGTTGAATGATCAAAACGATCATTTTAACTTTCTAACCATTAAAATGTAATTTCATGTAAACATGTTGAAAGGTTTTCTCTACACCTTGTTTCCAACTAATTCTAAACCTCTTTTACGTCATGTTTATGATTAATTCAAGAATACCAAACAATCAAATTTTCAATGTTTATCGTATTTCAACAAATTCATGTTTCAAGCACTTCATAATCCATCAATAAAGATTTCAATGTTCATGTAACGACCCGAATTTTTCGACTTTGCCATTAAGGTTAGTTCCATTATACTTTCATGTTAAGTTACTTTTTTAATTGTCAAAGTTAACTTTAAGGGGGCAAAGTGCAAGAAAATGTTACTTGATAATGTATATGGGTCATATAGTCATTTTCACATACTTTGAGGGCCTAACATGAAAATTACCAAGTATTTATACTTCACTTAACCCTAAATCCGGGAATTAGCAGCCATTTGCAGCCAACAAATCCTAATCTAAGCCTCCACCATGTTGAAAGAGTGTTTTAGGGTTCTTGCCATTGGTGGCGAGTTAAAGTACTGAAGAAAAATGGTGAGGTTGTGGGTGTTTTGGGAGGGCTTTCAGTCGAATTCTTGAAGCTTCCTTCCAAGATATCATCTTGTTGATTCAATTCTGGATTTCCAAAAGGTAAAAATATATTCCTTTGATTCATCTTGATGTTCTACAAGCCACACAAGGAGAAACCTTGGATGATGCAAAATTCTAGGTTTTGGTGTGTTGGTTGGTCCCATTATCGTCTCAATCATTCTGGTCACATGGAAATGGTCTTGAGGGGTTAAGATCATCTCAATTGAGACTTTGATCGGACTCAAAGCGAGCAGAAGGGGATAATTAATCGATTTCTTGAAATCTGTAATTGTAGTTCCCACGACATGAGTACCCATATGTCACGTCGTGGCGGCGGGACCTTGTTCGACTGAGATTGCGATGAAGGTGTGGCTCATGACATGCCACCCTTTTGGTCACAACGTAAGACAAAATCATTTTTATTTCATGTTCTGTTTTTATCAGTTCTTTAGGTATTCTTTTAATGGTGCTAGAGGTAAGTCATTTCTTGTGATGGATTAAGCACTTGTGTGGAAAGATAGCATCCACCTATACTTATGTAACACCCAATTTCCAAATCGGATCGATTTAGGGCTTTGTGGAGTCAAAGGCATGGTTTTTGGGTAAAAACATGGCTCACGACGTGACAATAGAGAGGTCACGACGTGAGTAATGATCAACTAAGGTTTTTAATTAAACTGAGCTCACGACGTGAGATGCGCTGCAACACAAGCCCATTATCATTTAGGGCTTCCTTCGTATTTAAACCCCATAAACTTCATTTTAGGGTTCCAAAATAGCCTCCTTCGTCCCTAAGCCCAGTAAAACCCTAACCATAGTCTCTCATTGTGATTGTTGAGCTTTTGGTAGAGTTTTGGTGGTTTGAAGAAGAAGAGATCACCATTAAAGCATAGTTTCAGCTTGGAAGTTCCATTTGCAACCTCTAGATACACATTTGGATAATTGTGAGTAACCAAGATCCAAACTTTATGTTTCATTGTTGCTATATCTAAGGTTTTATGCATATTTATCCATGAATTTAAGAGTTAGAGTGTTGGGACTCTATAAAGTTTGCAACTTTATGTGTCCTTAGGGTCCCTTGGTGTTTGTATGTTATGAATCTGAGTTTTGGAGGATGTTTGAGTTCATGCATGAGAATTTATCTCCTTTTTCTTCATGAATGACCTAGTTTGAGATCAAGTATTTTATTGGGCATACAAGACCTTAAAGCATCGATTTTTATGATCCTAGAAGTATTAGAAAGCCTCTTGGAAAAGATGGATTACTGACTTAATGAATTAAGAAGTTTTTGGATCAAAATGACATTCAGACTGATCTCACGACGTGAGGATATGTCTGTCATGTCGTGAAGATTATAAGTCCCGATTATTTTTTCCTGAAGTGGCTCACGACGTGAGCCATAGATGGTCACTTCGTGAGGGTCTGTTGACTGTCAACGTTTGACCATTGACCGTTGACTTTTTGACCAAGTTTGACTTTGGGTCAAACTTGAGGATTTTTGGTTGTTGATTAAGATTTTATCTGGTTCTGGTGTTAGTGGATTTACGGGTGCAAGCAGTGCTGAAAGGGGATCGTATATCGGTGTTTCAGAGTTCTTCGATTCAGGTGAATTTCGCCTCATTGTACCGTGGGTCGAAGCCACCAATGTCGGCCCACTATTTTTGGCTATCTTTAGTAGAGGGATGCCATATGGATTGTATATAGTCATGTAGGATAGACTGATGACTCTTGATTTAGGCTTTCTTGCATGTTTATTGTTTGGTTATGGCTCTAAAGTAGGATCACATGTCCGGGTGTCTATCTCACCTCTGAGTATATAAGGTTATGCATTCCTTGGATTGTTTGTAACATCCTGGAAACTTCAGACAAAAATTCCATTTTTAAAACATCCAATAATCATGTCAAAACAACCGGAAGTGTATCATAGTGAAATAACACCAGAGTACAAAATCCCAAAATCACATAATGCGGAAAACATGGGCGGATACTGTGCGATCAAGTCGGGCCCTTCCTTTTCGATATGGAAGTACCTGAAACATAAACTGAAAACAGTAAGCACAAAGCTTAGTGAGCTCCCCCAAAATACCCCATACCATAAATACATAACAGTCAAAACATAAATGGGTCAATTTCACCCCTTTTGGTCTCTTTCAACCGGTATTGGGTATATTTCAACCCCTTCGGGCTCTTTCAACCGGTATTGGGTATATTTCACCCCATTCGGTATCTTTCAACCGATATTTGGTGTATTTCAACCCCTTCGGTCTATTTCAACAGGTACTAGGTGTATTTTAACCCCTTCGGTCTCTTTCAACCGGCATCAGGTTTATTTCACTACTAGAGCTAGCATATAATATAACGCCCTGATTCTCGAGTATCAATTTATGGTTATAAATTCTCATGATTTCAAGGTATACTCGACGAGTTGGTTGCATGACTCGTCGGATAGCAGCGGGTTGGTCCACGTGCTTAAGTGACCTACTCGTCGTTACCTTGACCTCATTTCATTATAGATCTCATTTGGTTAAAGATTTGGGCTTTCTAGCATGTTTTGAAGCTATTCTTGGGTATGAGCTCAGATCTGAAGTTGTAACTTCAGATCTGAACTCTCTTTGGTTTGTAAGTCCATAAAGCTATCAGCTGTGGCAAGTATGAACCCCTCCTTAAGTGTAAAACTCCATTGCAAGCTTGGTTTTGTCATTTTGAGACTTTAGAGCCTTGCATGCACGTAAAGTTTGCAACTTTACGTGATAAGCATGCCTTGGGAAGCTGGATCTGCAATATGGAACCATATGATGGCTTAATAAGCATCTGTTTGGATATGGACTGAAGGGACTCGACGAGTTGGATGGTCAGCTCGGCGAGTCCGATGAAGATTGTCGTGGACTCGACGAGTCAGTAGGGTGACTCGACAAGTCAGCTTGGGTTTTCCCGACTTTGGACACGCATGAACTCGGAGAGTTGCAGGGAAACTCGACAAGTCAGTAGGGGGATTTCACGACTACTCGAGTTCTGGAAGGACTCGACGAGTCGGTGACTGCACTCGACGAGTCCAGTCAACATGGACTGTTGACCTTGACCATTGACTTGGACTTTGACCAAGGGTTGACTATTTGACTTCTGGGAGCATTTTTGGGAAATTGGAAACTTACGAATATGGTTCTATGGTGGATATAGATGGTGGAGTTTGTGACGGTGATTCGAGGGTTGAGCTTATCACTTCAGCGCGTCAGTTGCGAGGTGAGTTATCCTCACTATATCAACAGGGTCTAAGGCACCAAGGTCGGCCCCTTTGGATTGTTATTCTGGTTATAGTATGCTTGTATGTTGTTATGATCTGTTAAGATCGGTATCCTGGTAGATAGGATGTTGTTATGCTATTATGATTTGTTAGATCGGTATCCTGGTAAATAGGATGTTGTTATGCTATTATGATTTGTTAGATCGGTATCCTGGTAGATAGGATGTTGTTATGCTATTATGATTTGTTAGATCGGTATCCTGGTAAATAGGATGTTGTTATGTTATTATGACATGTTAGATTGGTATCCTGGTATATAGGATGATGTTATGTTAGTGACCTGGTTAGGTCGGTATCCTGGTTATAGGATGTTGCTATGATTGATGATCTGTTAGATCGGTATGATTGTTATATATATGCAATAGTATGATATTTATGTACACATGTTTGTTTGATTTGGGATTGGGTTGAGGCGGTCCTGCTTTGTGCTGAAGGCCAACATACCCAGGGCGGCCCAGATAGACTGAAGGCCCTGCAAAGGGATTCAGTCATACCGAAGGCCCGACGAGCGGTCCGGATAGGCTGAAGGCCCTACGAGGCGGTCCAGACGTGTCGAAGGCTCAGAGAGCGGTCCAGTCATGTTGAAGGCTCATTATGCATGCATGTTCTGTATTTGTTGATATGATATGATTATGGTTATATGAGGTTGGTATTTTGGGGGTAACTCACTAAGCTTTCGGGCTTACAGTTTCAGGTTCAGCGGATGGCCGTGGGAAGGCGAAGGCGTGATCGTACACTTCCTCGATTGATGATTTTGATTTCTGGGAACTCTGATGTTTAAACTATTTTGAAAACGAATTGTAATAACTGAATGGTTTTAAATGATTTAAAAAGTTTTAAATTGGATCGAATTTTATGGATGTTATAAGTTGGTATCAGAGCCTTGGTTTG